AGCACTTTATTGAGGGACTGGACCAGCTGGCTGGACTCTCACCCTGTGAGCAGTCTGCCTACAATTGTCAGAAACCACTGGAAACCACTGGAGATCTCAAATACTGTATTTTTGTAGCAAAGAGCAGTTTAATATATTTGCCTGGAGATGTAAACATTTATTAGGAAAATCAAAATATGCTGTTAATGACTTTTTTTATTCCTCTAAACTGACCTACTACCAAAGCCTGGAGCTTCTCTGGCAGAGCTGCCCCTTAGGGGGAGCTCGACCTGAAACAAGCCTTAAGTTCAAGAGTCTTCCAAGACTTCAGGTACTTCTTTTTCCTCATTTTAGTGTTATTTGAGCAGTGTCTGCAGCGAGGGGGGTTCTCTCTGTTCTCTGGTACCCTCTGCTGTGAATGAAGGGTCCCAAATGCAGGCGGGGGTGGTTTAATCCTGAGTGGTGCTGGTTGGCCTTGCTGAAACTGCTGCTGCTTCTTGTGCCTTCTCGAGGGAGGAAGATGAAGGATTGATTTGTTTCCTCCTTGTGCCTCGGTGGATCTCTGGAAAAGAGGATCCTGTACCTCACTGACAGATTTGGATTTTAGACTTTTATTCCTCAGCTTTTCTGATCTGGGTCACAAAGGAGAGCCGTTTGTGCCTTGGACCTTGTTTTTATTGACAACACTTCTTAAAAGCTTCCTTTGGTGTGCAGGGACTGGCATTTTATTTCCTTTAAGGGCCTTAAGAATCAAATATATTGTTTTATTATTATTGAAGGATCTGAATGTATTTCCCCCCCTCCCTGTTTGTACTCTCTGCTTTTTAGCCCAGGTACTGTTTTGTTTTTAAACACCTTTTTGGTTTTCATGGAACACTAAAAATAAAAAACACCTTAAACCCACCGTTCCGGGTACCTGTTCCCAGCTGTTGTCTTTAAGCATTCTTTATAAACACATTATGAAAAGAGCAGATTCAGAAGGGCCTCGTCCTCCCCTTGTGACCGGCTCTGCTCATCCTCCAGGTATTTCGGGGCAGGTTTCGTTCCGTGCAGGAAGAAGCTCCTGGCAAACAGGGTGGGGAAACCTGATGGACGGGCTCGCCCGCACCTGCAGGGCCGAGAGTTCCTGCAGAGCAGAACCAAATGACCGCGTGAGAGGCGAGATGTCCCCGCTCCCCGGCGGCAACAGCGGCCCCGGATTGCGGCGGGGCTGGAAGGAGCGGGAATTGAGGAAATCAGCCTCCCGCTGCCCGGGCGGCCGCTTAGAGCC